CAGCCAAAACCCTACAATCTATGTGTAGTGAGTGGCAATTGTAGTTATGCTGAATCAATTATCGCGATTTTTTGAGGGGTGAAGGATTTCTGCGCGGTGTCTCATATCCCCGGGTGTCTCGGAACCCCATGCGCTAGCTTACCGTACGGAGTAGTCTAGGAAGGACATCAGTGGCTACGCGCAGGATCTCGGTCCTTCTCCGAGCATCACCAACCTACAGTAAGCGGTGAAGCCCGCCAGCCCTGCGCGGGCACAGAGCCTTCCATCAAATGTACGTGAATCCTATGCTACTCGAGCACAGCGCGAAAAGACCCCTCGCTCCACGCTGTGGCATCGAGACCATGAACGGCCCTCACGACAGGCCAAAAGCCAAAGCCAGTAATACCTTGCCGCGAAGGTCCCTTATAAAGCCCCAGTGGCACGCATGCCACCAAGACAATCAGGCCCCTGTTTCTTGTTACACCACGTGACCAGATCGCCGAAGCGGGGATCGAAGCGCGAGGCTGCAGTCATGCGGAGCTGGCTCACAGCCCCAAGCGCTCAGCCTGATCATTCGAAAGCAGCCATGCACTTGCATCCGTCTCCTACACCGCAGCCAGCGTTTGCCAACGGCCCTCGCATCTACAGAGCATGCGTTTGCCGCGATGCGTCTGCTCCAGCGCCTGCCAAGCGGCACCTACGAGCTGACCCACTTCGACCATGACGATCCGCCCCCGTACGCCATCCTTTCGCATACCTGGGAGGAAGGCCAAGAAGTCTCATATCAGGAGCTCATTGCTGGTGCAGGCAGAGACAAGACGGGATTCGAGAAAATCCGTTTCTGTGGTGAACGAGCCGAGGCAGATAGGCTGCAGTATTTCTGGGTCGACACCTGCTGCATCGACAAAACCAACACCGGCGAGTTAGATACGGCGATTAACTACATGTTTAGATGGTACCAGCGCTCATCTAAATGTTATGTATACCTATCGGATGTTTCCGTAGAAGATCACGACCCCGCAGCATTTCCAATAATATGGGCAGACGCCTTCCGCCGCAGCCGATGGTTCACACGTGGATGGACGTTACAAGAGCTTATGGCACCATGCAGTGTTGAATTCTTCTCTAGGGAGGGCAAGCGTCTAGGTAGTAAGATAACCCTAGAACGCCAAATACACGACATCACTAGGATACCTATCAGCGCTTTGAGAGGGCAAGACCTTGCCAAGTTCAGCGTTGAGGAGCGTATGAGCTGGGTGACTTCGCGCACAACGAGTGTGAAGGAAGACCGAGCGTACTGTTTGCTCGGCATTTTTGGGGTGTTCCTGCCAGTGATACGTGGAGAAGGAGAAGAGCATGCAATGAGGCGGCTTAAAAAGGAGATTCAGGAACAGCAAAAAGAAATAGAAACTGAGCAGACAAGCAGCGGCAGCTACAACACGCGTAAGTGGGCACCAACAGCTATGTGTGGCTAGAGATAGCTGATGACTCTTTTGCAGAACGACTCCAAACAACTCGCCCATCCCATACGATCCCTTTTCGTCGTGATCCTGACTTTGTTGATCGCTGTACGCTGCTCGACGAGCTGAAAGAACGATGCTCTACGCCAGCGGCCCGGGTGGCGCTGGTTGGTGTTGGAGGTGTGGGGTAGGTTTCCTAGCAGCTCTTTGGGTCGGCAGTCGCACCTTGTCTAACAAGGTGTCTAACAAGGGAATAGCAAGTCGCAGCTTGCCATAGAGCATTGCTACCGCACGCATGAGGCATCGCCAGGGATGTGGGTACTATGGGCGCATGCCAGCAGCACCGCCCGGCTCGAGCAGAGCTTCCACGATATCGCCAACCGTGTCAAGATCGAAGGGCGACGAGATTCACAGGTCAACATTTTCAGGCTGGTGCACGACTGGATGTGCGACACTGATGAGCGGTGGCTACTTGTGTTAGATAATGTCGATGATACCGATTTTCTGTTTGACGCCCAAGCTACTACTTCGAAGATGGCAGCCAAGCCGTTGCAGGAATACCTTCCCTACTGCGCACATGGATGTGTTCTTATTACAACGCGGAATAAAGAAGCCGCTCTGCAGCTGGTAGAACAGCGCGACATTATGGCGCTCAATCCAATGAATGCACTGCAGGCGCGGACTTTACTCACAAAGAAGCTTGGCGTGCAAGCGACTAGTAGTAACGCTACTGAGCTCACCGAGCTCGCTACAGTACTTGAACACATGCCGCTTGCCTTAGTTCAAGCTGCTGCATATATCTCGCAGAGAGCACCGCTGTGCTCCGTAGCGCAGTACCTGGATCAGTTTAGGAAGAGCGAGCGCAAGCGGACGAGCCTGCTCAGCTACGACAAAGACCATCTGCGACGCGATCGGGAGGCAAAGAACTCGATCATCACGACGTGGCAGATCTCGTTCGAGTACATACAGCAGACACGGCCGTCAGCAGCAGACCTGCTATCGTTGATGAGCTTCTTCGACCGCCAGGGGATTCCCAAGGATGTACTACAGACGCAAGCCGAGGATCAAGAGGGCAAAGTCAATCGCAAACTCGATGAGGCTAGGGCAGGTCGCAATGGGCACGACAAGAGGGTGCAGTTTGAGTGCAATGATTGCGACGTTGAGGAGCAGCTTGGCGAATTTGAGATCGACGTAGAAGATCAACTTAGGAACGACTCTGCAGATGCCTCTGAGGACAACAACTCTGAGGACAACGACTCCGAAGACGGTACATTTTTTGAAGACGTCACAGCCCTACGCAACTTCAGCTTCATCTCTGTTAGCACTGACGGCAAAACTTTTGAGATGCACGCACTGGTGCAACTATCGATGCGTACGTGGCTTGCTGCGAACGGAAAATTAGGACGCTACAAAGAGCAGTTTATCAACAAGCTTTGTATGGTATTCCCCACAGGAGAGTATGAGAACTGGATAGCGTGCCAGGCGCTGTTCGCGCATGCTAAGGCGGCGACTGGCCACAAGCCAGCAGGCGCATCTTCACTGGTGCAGTGGGCTACGTTGTTGTATCGCGCAGCATGGTATGCGGAGTGCAAAGGAAACGCAGGTGAAGCAGAGGTGCTAGCAACACAGTCATTAAAGGCACGAAAGAAGGTCTTGGGGCGAGATCACGAAGACACGATATGGGGTATAGCGATGGTGGCGAACGCCTACTCACTTGCGGGACGGTGGGAAGAAGCGGAGAAGCTAGAGGTGCAGGTAATGGAGATTCGCAAGACGAAGCTCGGAGCAGACCATCCACACACGCTGACCGGCATGAACAACCTAGCGTTGACATACTGGAATCAAGGCCGCTGGAAGGAAGCAGAAGAGCTACAGGTGCAGGTGATGGAGATTCGCAAGAGGAAGCTCGGAGCAGACCATCCAGACACGCTGACCGGCGTGAACAACCTAGCGTTGACATACTGGGACCAAGGCCGATGGGAGGAATCGGAGAAGTTAGAGGTGCAGGTGATGGAGACTCTCAAGAAGAAGCACGGGGCAGACCATCCACACACGCTGAGCAGCATGAGCAACCTAGCGTCGACATACAGGAACCAAGGCCGATGGGAGGAAGCGGAGAAGCTAGACGTGCAGGTGATGGAGATTCGCAAGACGAAGCTCGGAGCAGACCATCCAGACACGCTGATAGGCATGGGCAACCTAGCGTTGACATACATGAACCAAGGCCGATGGGAAGAAGCGGAGAAGCTAGGGGTGCAGGTGATGGAGCTTCGCAAGACGAAGCTCGGAGCAGACCATCCAGACACGCTGACCGGCATGCACAACCTAGCTTTCACATGGAAATCACTTGCCAAGAATGCAGAGGCTATGGATCTGATGCAGGAGTGTGTACAACGGCGTCAAGAAGTGCTTAGAGCAAATCATCCTGACTTGACATCTTCTATATTGGTCTTGCAACAATGGGAAGGAGAGCGTGTAAATTTAGACGATGAGTTATGCAATAACTTTAAGGATATGCGGCTATAACTTCCTATAGCTGTAGATTATGTCAATAAATGCTGTGTCGACAACGGGCCATTAGGAAACTATCCAGTTTGGAGTCTGTTTCGAGTACGCAGGTTATCTATAGACTTAGTCGATGGCATCAAGCTTTTACTCTAATAATCCATGACCCGTTCACGTGATCTTGTTCCAGCACGCAGGGCTCACGTCTGTCCAAGCGTGCCGGGACGCATGGTGTAACGGGACACCTTTTCTTCCGGCAACTCGGATTGTCCCCAGCACGCTTCTCCCAAGAAACGTGCGACGCGCATCCATTATGTAGCTCTTACCCTCTTAGCATATCGGCCTCCGACGCCAAAAAGCGCTTTATTGACCGTGCTGTTGCTTGTTCTGTCCATGCTGCCCACCAACTCTCCTTGAACACCCCCTGCTCGTTCGCGGCAATAAATATCTGCGGAGAGCTCGGTAGGCTGGAAAACAAGCTGAGATGGCAAAGAATAAGACTGTAGTGTTGTAGGTCAACTTAAAGTGAGGAGCGTGCTTCCCGGCAGTTTCTCCGCGCGGACGGCAAGATTGTTAAATCGCACCTGGCTGGACGTGCATCTTTAACGACTGTTAGCATGCAGCAGCCTGCAGTAGCGTGCTAAGATATCTGCGTACCGCACTGCGCACTGTGGCTGTGTCCTGCGACTCTGAGCTGAACACATGATGATGTGGCCAGCGTCTGCTCATCCTGATCGCATGCACTGCCTCGACAGGCTGCCATCACAGCAGCATAAGCTTCCTCTACCTGCTTTAATCTGTCGCGACTGTATGATCCTACTTTAATTAACAAAAAAGTCGTTCACGCCCCCCTCCAACCAAGCCCGAGCTGCAAACGCCATGCGGCTTCTCCACTTTGATGCGCTAGGAAGGCTCGTCTCAACAGACTTTCGCGGCAAGACGATCCCGCCATACGCCATTCTATCGCACAGATGGAGCGACTCCGAAATCCTCCTCGAACACATAGCAAGCGGAGTCTACAAGGAGAGGGGAGAAGGCTACCGAAAGCTCCAGTTTTGCGCCAAACAGGCGGCACAGGACGAGCTGCAGTACTTCTGGATCGACACATGCTGCATTAATAAATGGAATCTCTCCGAGCTCTCAAAGGCGATTAACTCGATGTTCCAATGGTACAAAAACGCGATACGATGCTACGTCTTCTTGTCAGACGTCTCGGTATCGACTGCAACAGAGCCAGTCCAACGGAGTGACTGGGAGGCATCGTTCCGCAAAAGTTTATGGTTCACTTGAGGGTGGACGCTCCAAGAGCTTATCGCGCCGCCGTCAGTCGAGTTCTTCTCATGCGAAGGACAGCCCATAGGCGACAAGGCGTCGCTCGACCAGCTTATACACGAGATCACTGGCATCCCGCTCGCGGCATTGCGCAATTACCCCTTAGACCAGTTCACTACATCCGAGCGAGAGAGATGGGCCGAGAATCGCAGAACAACTGAAGAGGAAGATATTGTATACTGCCTGCTTGGGATTCTTGGTGTTTACATGCGAACCGCGTACGGTGAAGGACAAGAGAGTGCACGAAGTAGACTACAGGTAGAAGTCGTGGTAGTTGCTAATGTACCGTCGATCATCCCGTTCTTACAAAACCCTCGCTTCGTAGGCCGAGAGTCGCAGCTTGCCGAGCTGGAAGGAAAGCTCTTTAGCAACGAACAGACCACTACTACACTAGCGATTGTTGGACCTGGTGGATTAGGCAAGTCGCAGCTCGCGCTCGAGGTTGCACACAAAATAAGGCAGAACATGGATAACTGCTTAGTCTTTTGGATGGACGTAAGCGACAAAGACAGTCTCTACCAGTCATATGCAAGTGTTGCGCAGAAGCTCCGTATTCCTGGGTGGGATGATGACTAGGCCAGTATGAAGCAGCTTGTAGAATGCTGTGTAGTAGAGATAAGTGCGCGATAGTGTTTACTAATCTTTGACAACGCAGAGGACACTATTCTACGATCTGGCGGCTTGTCCACAATAGAAGCGGTAGATTTGGTGGACTAGCTGTCGTAATCTAAGCTATGCTCTGCCATCTTCACAACCACAAATTGTGGCATAGCTGAGGCGCTTGCTCCACAGTGTATCATAGCGTTGCAAGAGCTCACACTGGACACGGCGCTAAAGATGCTATAAACCCGCTTGGCAACGCCGCTTCTGAACACTGAGCAGTAAGAAGCTAAGCACTTGCTAGAGGAGCTACTGTATCTGCCTCTAGCGATCGCGCAAGCAGCAGCGTGCATAAACGCTAGCGGCATAATAGTGCAGAATTACCAAGCACAGCTAGACGCGTACAATGATGCCGCTATTGACCATAGCAGCGACTCGTCTGCAGAAAGACTACAGAGATCTAGCATAGCAGATCCTATAGCTGCCACACTGTTTCTCTCACTAGACTAGATCGTTCGTAAGAATGCGCTTGCTGTAGACTATCTTTTTCATGCTGCATGCGTAAACTGGAAGGATATCCCGCTTGACCTTCTAGAGGCAGCCTCGCCGCAGGTAAAGGAAGATGCTATTAAGGTACTTAATAGATATACGCTCATCACTAGGCGACCTGCTGAGTCTGCACTTAATATTCATCGACTAGTGCATCAAGCTCTACGTAAACGGCTCCAAGCGTAGGGACAGTTCTAATAGTGGACTCAACGCACTATAACACAGCTACTCTAGGTGTTCCCAAACAATGACCATAATAGTAGAAGCAAGTGGAGATGGCTGCTTCCACATATCCAGTATGCTCTATCGCACAGTCCCACAGATAATGATGACGAAGAGAGATTAGATCTTTTATGGAAATGTGCCCTGGCTTTGTATAGTGACGGACGGTATGAGGAGGCCGAAGAGCTGTTTGTGCAAGTGATGGAGACGAGCTCGAGGGTGCTTGGGGAGGAGCATCCAGACACGCTGACCAGCATGG